CCCCACAGCAGCTCAGGAAATAAGGAGGATGGTGCAAATAAAATCTTGCTGAGTAGACCCCTGTGGCTGACAAGAAGCAGTACAACCAGCCTTCTTCTCTTCAGTGAAATAAGTCACGGTGTGCCCCCCTCCATGAGACAGTCATTTCCTCTCCCTACTGTTTTTACCAGGGCTGTCACGGCTGCCTCAGCATCCTGAATCCACTCAGAGTGTGCCCCTCTCTCAGTCATCCTGACTTTGGGGAAGAGCCAGAATTTTCACGGGGTTGTATTTGGTGAATAAAGCGGAAGAGGATTGTGTTGTATTTTTTATGAGCCTTCCTTTCCATTGGATGACACTGAGCAGCAGCGTTTGGAAGACAGCTTCCAGAACTATTTCAGAATGTGGCAGGAGCGATGGGTTAAATGTGTTTGAATTAAGGGGTGTATTTTTTGAGGTGTCTGAATGGTAATTTGTCCTTTTATTGATTTGGAAAAAAAAAATCTAACCGTTCACTGTATATTTTGATTACACCCCAGACATAGTTATATTCTACGCAAGCTGGAAGAAATATAAAAGTATTCAAAATTTATTAGCTCTGGGCACCATCTTAATGGACATCCTCACAATTTGGGGGCTGTTTGGACTATAAGCTCTCTTGTCCCAAACTCAATCATCATTCACCAATGCTGATTCCCGTTGGCCTTCAGGATCACGCCTGTCTTCCAGCCTCTTCCTGGTGTGTTTCTGCTGCAGCTCCAAGCCCACACTCTGCCTCCCCTATGTGGAATCTAGTGAAATTCACACACACACACACACACACACACACACACACACACACCACCAGCACCAGCAGTCACTGTCTTTGGGTCACTACATGGTTTCATTATTGACCTACCAATAGCCCCGTCTTATTTTTATGTCTTCGTGTTTTCATTTATTTTAAATAGCATATTAAACATCTGTAAAGTTGAAACTTGTTTAAAGAACTGTGACACATCGGACTTTTCTATGCTCTGTATTTTGCCTAAAATTTCTTCCACCTGCCCAACTCTCCCCCATATCTTTAGGACTGGGCTTAAAATTTTGTTTCCCTCACCCTCCTCTTCCATCCTCAATACTGGGTTGAAAATCACTTTCCACGGTAGCCACAGCGTCGTTCCTTTCTGGGTTGCACCTCACAGCGTCTGGCGTTGTACTGCTGGTTCACTTGCTTTTCTCCCACTAGGCGGCGCTAGGCTTTGAGATTGTTGAAAACAAGAATGGCTGGTCTGATGGGGCAACCCGAGGAGGGTTTATTTAGGGCAGTGCCTGCTAGCACATGACCCAAGCTCAAAGCACGGATACTACACACACACACACACACACACACACACACACACACACACACACTAACACCAGATACGGAAGAGGGCTGTGTTAGAAACCAAGATTTGTGCGCTCTGTATACTCAGTAAGGAAAAGATGATTGCAGATGGTTTAACTAAAAACATTTGTGCATTTCTTTTCCATTATATGTGAAGCTCTTTTGAGCATTTGTCTTTTGGTTTCTGCCTCCATATTACTAGTGATGTGCTTATCCTGTTTTTTTTTTTTTTCATAAAAATTTAATGACGTGCTACTAACACGATTTTTAAATGTCAGTACAGCATTCTTCCTACCCAGCTCTCTAATGTAATCATGCCTCAATTTTGTGCTAACCCTGTAGCTAGAATTCATGTGATTACCACCATGTCCCTGTTCACATTTAGTAAATGTACTATAATTACATTTTTCCTATACATTATGTCTTTCCTAAGAATAACTGCCTCATGTTTTCCTTCTCTTCATTTCCCAAATAATAAAATTCACCCCTAAAGTTCCAACGCATCTGTCAAAACCTATTGATTTTCTTTTTAATATATCCAAATGAGGCTGGGTGTGGTGGTCCACATCTGTAAACCCAATACTATGAGAGTCAGAGGCAGGAGGCTCACAAGTTGGAGCCCAGCCTGGCAAATGAGCAAGATCCTATCTCAAAATTAAAGAAAAAAAAAATTCAAAAGGGCTGGAGATTTATCTTAGCACTGCGCAGGTCCTGGGTTTGACTGCTAGTACAACAAAATCATGCAAACAGAGAGTGCGAAATGACCAGCTATGACCTCACCACCACAGCAAACCTGTGTCTCTGCCCTCTGCCAGCCTTATTGCTACAGTACCTGGTCCCCAGACATGCTTCCCTGTGGTTCCCAATGAACCTTGCTTCCTGCTACTTATTTTACCATAGTATTTCCACTACACTTGATTCTGAGATGGAGCCAAAGCTTTTTGACCTGTAAATGCTATGGAAATAATACTGAATGTCATTACAAAGTTATGTAAAAACAATCAGATATTATTCCTAAGCCTGTTGCAATGCTCATTTTTTGAGAAAGTCAGATGCTGGGTAAAAACATCCATTATGAGACTGTTTATATTAAAGAAGGCCAGGACACTGCCTGGAGTGGCCAGTCCAGCCCTAGCTCTTGTAGGCATTTTCTGAGTTCATCAGACATCTGAGTGAAAGTCCTCCTTGGTGATCACCCAGGTGTGTTGAAAGTTCTCTTGCACAGTCTCGGTGGACCATGAGCTGACTCCCTCTCCAGCCCCTGAAGCTGAAGGAGGAAAGACCCGCTGAGATCAGTGCACCCAGGGAACCCAGACAGTGAATGTTCTGGGCATTCATCTCCAGGGTGATCTGTGATACACGGATAGAGAAGGGAAGCAGCTGCCCTCTTGTCTGTTCTGCAGCTGCCTCTCTGGAATTTTCCTTCCCTTGATTCAGATAAATTGCTCTCCAGATCTTATGACATACTTCCTGGTGAATTCCCTTGTTTTGCTATAGTTTCCTCTCCTGTAACTGCCTGAGAAAGGAGTGTGGAAGGTACATGTCCATTCTTCTATGTTCAGGAAAGTCATTATTACCTTCTTAAGTTTGAATAATCAACTTGCTAAAAAAAAGGATGAGGGGTTGAAAATCATTTTTCCTTCTGAATTTTAAAAACACTTCAGTGTACTTTTGTAGTTTTATTTAGAACAAAGAGGTGCTCTGGTTACAAGTGCTTTCAGTGAAAGACAGTACATGATTTATACTACTCCGTGGGCATCTTTTGGTTCGTGGAGATTTTTTGGTTCACGGAGTTTAGCATTTGGTTGGTCTTCTAATCTGAAGGCTTTGGTGGCAGGAATCTCTTTTTGTAAGTTATTGCTTCCATAATACCTTCTTTTCTACTTTTTCTTTCTTTTTTTAAACATGCCAGAACAATATCTGTTAATATAGCACTTTGTATTATTATACATTCTAGCAGATTTTCTTTAGTTTTCAAACTTCCCATAAAGTTCTGATGTAAAAGAGATAGCATTTTAATTTTCAAGAACTCTTCCTCAGTCCCTGATTTTTCCTCTTCATAGCATCTCTGTTCTTTTCCATGGATGTAAGATCTTCCTGAGAAGATATTAGTTTTCAGAAGCATATGGAAGGCCTTCCACCACCCCACTCATTACCTGGGTCAAGCTGAAAGCTTGATGGTGAGGCTCAGTTGTGTGTTTGTATCTACAAGTGACACAGCCCAGAAACCAATGCCCGGTTCTGTGGCTGTGCTGATGTCGTGCGCTGCTGACTCTATTGAGGGTGCTTAGGAACACTTTAGTGTTGGCATGGCTTGGTAGCCCCATTCATTCGGCTCAAAGATAAACCTCCCAGTTTCCTGGCTTAGAGTGAGAAGCGCGTCCAACAGTCTGTGGGCCTCAGTGGGAAGATTCTCTCTGCAGCTTCATTTTCTTCTCTGCCTCATTTATGAATTCATCTGAGTCTGGAACCTCATCTGATACCTAGATTTTTCACAGTGTGAGCTATGTTCAAACCTGTGTCTTCTACAGCTGAGTATCATCAAGTGAGAACTTTTATTATAAACCCATAATACTTGTGTCTCCTCTAATATATTCCCTCATGCCAGGGGGGATGGGCTTGGTGCTAGGGATGCAGTACTCTAAGATCACAAGTCAGAGTAGGATGTAGTGACTATGCGCATGGGCTTTGGAAAAAAAAGACCTGTGTTTAAGTCCTATTTCTGTACCTTTTTAGTTGTGGCTACTAAGTAATTTACTTAGCTCCCATAGGCTTCCTTTTTGTCTTAGTGTTAAATGGTATAAGCTGTATATATTTCTTAATGGTTTAAAAATTAAATAATGCACTGTATTATAGAGTCGCTGGCCTATAATCATGTAGCCAATAAACATTAGTGATGAAAATGTCTTGATTTATGAAACACATCCAGTTGGTTATTGGTTGAGCTAGCTCAGCAGAACAGATATATATATATATATCCCTGTGTCTGGCAGCTCGGCAGAACAGATATATATATCCCTGTGTCTGGCATCCGAAGGGCTATACAGTCAGTCACCTTGTTCAGGTCCTGTACTCTGCCTTAACTTCTAAGCCTTTCCCCATCAACGGCTCCACTGTCAAGAGTTGGTGTTGGGCCTATACCTTGGATCTGCTGCTGCCCGAGTCTGAGCTGTAATCATAGGGTGCTTCTGCTGCAGCCCCTCTTTTCTTCCCAATTAGCTACATGGTGGCTTCAGGGACGCAGCGATTGCTGGCATGCCTGTCGTTCCTCCTCCATTGCAAGGGCAAGGAGCTCATGAGTCTTGGAGAGGGAGATTGCAGAGTGGGGTCTCTCCTGGCTTCCTGTGTTCGCCATGTGGCCTCCAGGGGAACAGTCACCAGTGTGGAGTTGAGTGCGGAGTTGATGGTGATTTATGGCCCATGTTGCAGCAGTCAAGATGACCGTGGGCCCACACATCTGTTTGCACACTCTGGGCACCGGGAGAAAAGTGCTCAGCACATTTTATCATGTATCTCCAGTAGAAGGAGGCCATTCGGGATGAGGAAAGGGAAGATATTGAGGAAAAAGAGAAATGAAATTAACGTGTCCCACCCTGTCAGCAGGAAGTGCAGTATAAAACATGACTTTCTGACAGACAGACAGACTCCTGTCAAAATGTCCAAAGGGGCTGTCGTTCTCTGGCTGGCGGTGGTGCTCGAGTGGCTTTATCTGAGTAAGTGTTCAGAACCTGCCCGGGCTCCTTGGGGGGCTCCTTATCATGCAGTGGGTTTCTATCATGTTCCCTCCGAACTTATCTTGACTTTTTAAAGTCTCTCTCCTGCCTTGTTACACAATGTTTTTACCCAGAGATTGATTTGGAGGTTGTAGGTGGGGTAATTTGCACTAATAGTAGAAATGGCAATTTAAGAAAAAAAGACACAGAAAAAGAGGTTGGAGGAAGGGGCTAAGAAATTTCTTCTACAGCACAATCAGAGACAGAGCACCCTGTTCTGGTAAGAGCCCCTTCTCTCTACTCAGGAGTGATTGTCTGCTCTGGGGATGGAGCCTCAATGAGAGATTTCTTTTCTGAACATTTTTTCCAGTGCTTGGATAATGCAAATGTACACTCAGTGTTGGCCAGTGAAGGCTTTCACCCCGGGGCATATGGCTGTCACTCTGGTTTAAGCCTTTCACCCTGGGGTGTATGGCCCTTGCTCTGGTATAAGCTGCCACTGCTGAGATTGCTGGCACTGACACTGAGAATATGCACAAATTGTACTGGCTCCTCTATGCATGAAGGCAGAGAACTGGGTGAGACCTTTAACGGTCCATCCAAGGACTAGCCACATCTAATGGGCCTTGCCTTTTAACAACACCAGCTATTCAGATGTGAATTTACAAAAGTGCTATGGGAGAAAACACTTTCATTTCGAGAAGAAGAAACATGCTCTCTCTGCCCCTCGTGCCTGTTTCATGCTGATCTTTCTGCTTCTTTCTGTCCTCCTTAATGCCATCAGTCCTCATCCCTCCACTGAACCCAAGCTTTTGCTGTCCCCCATCACCTCCAGACTGGCCGAGGACTTCTGGCCATGAACTCCCCCTGACCCGGAGTTCCTGCATCACTCACCTTGTCCCCCCAGGACCTGCTCACTCAGCTGCTTTCTTCCCCAGGCACCATGTTGGCCCTGGGAGCCAGGTTGGCTTTGTTTGCTGTTGTATTCCAGCACTTAGATCCAGGGTAGATATATAACAGACAGGAAATAATCTGCGGAGTGAAAGCAATCCTGTGGCTTCAGGCATAGCATACATGCCCCCTATTAATGTAAGTAAACTATAGTCTGTTAGTTTTTAGGGTTTATTCAGTTGTTTGATTGTTTTTGTTGTGCTACTGGGGACTGAACATTGTGCTGAGTTACATCTTCAGCCTTTAAAGATTTTTCTTTCTTTGAGACGAAGTTTTGCTTAGTTGTCCAGACTGGGTTGCTTCTTGTGCCCCACACTGGCGTGCTCAGCAAGCCTGGTTCTCTCTCACGGTTTTCTGCTGGCCTGTCTGCTGCCTTGGGAAGGTGAAGCTCGTGGTTTGAGGTGCGGGTTGCCAGGGCCTACGTCAGCATGCAGTGCTTCCTCCAGGATCTGATGAAATGAGCTTCTCCACCTTGCTGGAATGAGGCAGCACTTAGTGTACTTTCCTTTTAGTGTACTTTTGTTTGTTTGGCTCGTTTTGTTTTTCTAAACCTTGAAGTTTAAGGGAAGATGCTGTGTGGATCATCACAGAAAGCTGGGTACCTCGAGGCACCCACCAGAGCCCCACACGCTGTCAACCCAGGATTGCAGACACTTTAGAGCCGGAGTGCCTGACAGCCACCCAAAACATACTTATTTATCACAAAGTGATTAAACCTGAATACTGAGGATTATGTTTTGAAAAAAAAAATAATTCTACATTAACATCTTTTATCTTAAAAAAAACCAATTGTGTTCATGTCATTGGTTCACCACGGTTGTGGGTGGTGATGTGGTGTCCGCATTGGGAAGAGCTTTGCCTAAGTCACCAGCTAAAGAGGTGCCATAGCGTAGGCCGTGTCCACTCCCATATTCCAGAGAAGGGAACTGATCTGAGCACAGCGATTCCTTTTATCCTCGGCACTTCTGCAGCTGGAAAGAGATTTCCTAGTGCTAAGTTCTGGTGTGTTTGGTTGCTGGCACTAAAAGTTTATGAAGCTCACCAGGCATTCAGCGCTTTTGTTCTTGTGACCCCTTGGGCTCTTTCAGAGGTGAGCATCACCCTTGTTTTCTTATGGTGATAGCTATTGTGTGTTCTCCAGGGACACACAAGCCGAGCCTGCCAGCAGGAGGTTTACTATATAACCAGCATGGGTGTCTTTCTGTTATGCCCAAACACGGCTTCCTTTTTTAAAATACAAAATTTTAATCAGATGTGTAATATTGAAACTCTTGGTGAAATAGTGAAAATGCTACAAGAGGAAGATTAGGAAAATAAAACCTTTATTTACTGTGACATCCGGGTCCTGTCCTTTTCTTCCTATCCTGGAGGTCACTGAGGCCAGGAGCTGAGTGTCTGTCCCATCAGACACTTTTCTGTGTATTTTTTTTTTTTTTTTCATATAGTTAGGCCTGTGCAAATACAAACCAGTTTATTCATTTATTGAACAAAGAACAGTTTCGTATTGTATCTCTAGTTTTGAAGCGCAAATATATATTCTAAGAGAAAAAAAATAAATATATGACATACATATGTCATATATTTATATATTCACATGTCATATATTTGTATTTTTTTCTCTTACACTTCGCTCTTCTTGGGTATTAAAATCCAGTTTGGTGTCCTCATGCCAATTCATATAGTTCTCTCTCAGTCTACTGATCTATGTAGAATTCCATGGAATCTAAGTAGGTGTGCTTTAGCCGTTTGCCCCACAGGCACTGTCTCGTCCCTTATGGAGGCTGTGACAAACTCTTGCCAAGAGGCATCCTAGCACGCATGTGCTTTCTAGAGTAGACAGCAGTGGTGCGATCTTCAGGGCATAGCTAGGACTCCTGCACTGCACGCCAGGAGGAGCTGTCTAACTCGCACTCCTATTTTCCTGCATTTCCTCTGGATGGCTGTGTCCTTTCCTAGCCCTCTCACCAGCACCTGAGAGCAGCGTTGGATGACACGCTGGCCAGTGTGACATCATCTGTACCCTAAATCACTGCAGTCTCAAGGGTAAAGGCTGTCAGCTGCTCCTGTTTTCTCCTCTGTAACTGGCTTTTACATCTTTGCCAGGTGTACTTTGGGGCTTTCTCATCGCAGACTGGGATATTGGATTAGGCAACTTTCCTGTCACTACAGCACAGCACATCACACTCAGCTATGAATGAAGGAAGGTTAAACTTGGTTCCTGCAAAGAAGGAACAGGACAGAAGAAGGGCAAGAAGTTGTAATGATTTGTTGCACTGTATTGTACTCAAGGCTAAGACTAATCATGTATTATATATTGCAAAATCTCTAAATGACTCTTAATGTTCTTACTACCACATTTGATACCCTGGTGAAGTGATTATTATGTTACCCAGTTTAATTGAAACTTACTTCAATGTATCCATAGGCCAAAACTTCGTATCAAATACCCCAGAACAAGAAATCATTGTTATTCTATTAAAGACCAGTCACTTAATAATCCATGAGCTCCTAAATTCCTATTTCCTAAGTAGCAAGCATGATCCAGAGCAAGCCAGTTCTATTTTCAGTCCAGATTGAAAGGGGAAAAGCATGTGAAAAGCAGCTCACCAGCTCATCGTGCAGCCCTGCACTATCCTGTCTGAGGCACTCAAGTCAGTAGCGCACAATGTCTGCTTACTGAGAACAGGGAACACGTGGGGCTTCTTGGATGGGCTTTATATGAAATAGTGGAATTTAATTATAAGGTCAAGACTTTTCATTGCAGAGTTTATTGGTTTATTGAATTGCACTCAAGATTGCAATTATTAAATCAGCAAAAAGGCCTTGCTTCTGAGATGAATTCTGAAGTGAATACAAAGATGCTGGTGGTCCACTCGCTTTATCTGGGGACGGCAGCATGTAGAGTTCGGAGCTCAACAGGGTTAGAAGGCACACAAAATTTATGTTAAAGAAACATATAGAGACTGACTCTACGAATCTTTCTGGACCATCTATTTACACAATAACCTATCTAAGAGATGTTGGTGCTGCCCGTCTTAGTTTCTTTCCCTTTTTCCTTGCAGCACCAACCAGGTCACAGCTTACCCTGACAGCATTTTTGGGTCAATCAGTGACTTTGCCCTGTGTGTACTGGTCCTGGTCTCCAAACAGCAACAGCATGTGCTGGGGAAGAGGCGAGTGTCCCAATTCCAAGTGCAACCAGGAGCTCATCCATACAGATGGAACTACAGTGACCTCGAGAATGTCAGGAAGGTACAGACTTCAGGGGAATATCCAGAAGGGCGATGTCTCCTTGACCATCCTAAACACCAGGGAAGGGGACAGCGGGGTGTACTGCTGCCGCATAGAGGTGCCTGGCTGGTTCAATGATGTGAAGAATACCATCCATCTGGTGCTAAGGAGAGGTGAGCAGGCGGGACGCAGATCTGGGAAGGAGAAATTCACCATGGACGGGGAGTGGGCTCATGGGAGGGCTGGGGAGGGCAAAGTGGCCTAGGCAGGGGGTGGAAAGATGAGACTGGAAATGAGGTGACGGGACAGGGAGCAGACAGGGACAGCGCCCCTGGGGACAGAGATAGTGACAGAGATGCAGAGGGGAGTGTGGGAAAATACAGGGAACAGGTTAGGTGTGTAATGCATCTGAACAGGGCAGTTGCTGTTTAGGGCATTACTCAGGGAATTCCCTGTTTGAGGGAATTGTCATTGACCTTACAGAAATTTGTGTCCAGCATTTTCAGACTTCCTAGTTTTTATGTGAACTGTATTTAATTTTGCACATCAGTCAATTTGAAAAGTCAACTAACAATATAGTATGAACTAAGTAGAGCACATCTGTGGGTCTGCTTCAGCCTGTAGACAAATAGTTTGTGAGTTTTAGTGGAGCAGAGTGTGTGGGATTTGGAAACAATCTTAGCAGTTTCCAGGCTTTTTTCTATTTGTTCCTGTCAGCTGGTATGGCAAAAATTTGGAATATGATGAGACTCTCAAAGATGTGAGTTTCATAGAGTGAGCGGCGCTGAGCCTGAGGTTGAATTATTTTACTGATAACCACCTTTCATGCTTGTGTTAATGGAGCTTCCTGGTCCTGGGCACTGCTCCCAACATCGATGCCTTGGAGAGCAGCATTCTCTAGTTTCTCTAATGCACACTTAACTGGGGACCAGTGGCTGTGCTTGCTTTTCATTAAATAACTTTCTTATGTAACAGTGTCCTTAGAATCTTTTCCTCTTAAAGCAGCTCTGTGACAGAGAAGGCAGCATTCTGATTTGGCATGAAAGGAAAATGATATTTACTGAAGATAAATGACCCCCACCCCAGTATTTTATTACCTGATGTAACTATCATTTTATCATATATTTGCTGACCTCAATATTCTACAGTGTCATTTCCAAGTTCAGTTGGAACAAGTGAGGTCTTTCTACTTCTCTGAAATCTGTGCAAATTTTGCAGATTCTAGAAATGGTGAGATCCATAGAATAAATTGGTAATAAACCCAAAGGTAGACGTTGTTGGGTTAAGTGATGTTGGCATGAATGAGTCTTTGATTGCAGAAGGAAAGCCCTGTAGGCTGCCTGCTTCTTGCCAGATACTGTTATGTGTACTGGATTCATAGCAGAGAATAAATAAATATGTTCCCTGATTTCTCTAATGGTACTTACTGCCTAGTGGAAGAAGGAGACATTAAGCAATGACAATTAAGGACATATGTAATTATGAAATACCATAAATGCTGTGAAGGTAAATACAAGAAACACACAACATAGATTTCTGTCATTGTAGACTCCAGATGTCCTTATCAGAGAAGTGACTTTGTGTCTGAGGCCCACAGGGTAAGACAGAGTCAGCCCAGAATAAGCAGGAGTGCAAACAGGACATGAAACTCCTGTGCCTGGGAGGCCATTGATGTTCTCACAGAGCTAACGAAGGTCTGGTGTCTAAGAAAAGTGAGGAGAGAGTCCAGACCTGTGCTTGGAAAGACAGGCAGGCATGAGACAGATAGTATTTTTAGACCAACAGGCTGCATCCGTATCTTATAAGCAAGGAGGACCCCATACAAATTTTACAAAGAGAATTGAAATAAATCAATTAGCCATCTTAAAAGGTTACTCAAGCCATTTTAAGTAGAACAGACTGGTCGAGACAAGAATGGAGATGAGAAGTCCAGTTTCAGTAAGCATTACAGTGATCCAAGCCAGTGGACCAGAACTGGGGTGAAATGGACAGACCCCCAGATCTCTTTCTCCATCTCACTTGGTGCAAGGTGCATCTTTTCTTGGTTACAGCCCCAACAACTATGAGACCGACAACCACCTCCAACCCAACGACCACCCCTCATTTGCTGCCGACCACAACTGTGCTGCCAACAACAGGCCTGACTGTAGAAACCTCCAATCCAACCACTACCCCTTACGTAGATACAACCACAGCTGTGCTGGTAACACCACTTGTGACTACAGCAACCTCCCACCAAGAACCCACACCTCGCACACCAACAACCACAGCTGTGCTGCCAACAACCTTCTTGACTACACGTGAGCTCACAGCCAGAACCCCACTTCAGACAGAGGTCACCTCAATCTTCACAACAACAGCGACCGTGTGTCCTCTGACAAGGCCGAGCTCTGCACCAGAGACAACCCCAGAGCCCCCCATGCAAGGGCCCACCTCCACTGCAGGTATGTGACAACAGTGACCATCTTTCTCTTCTGCTGGGTACATGTGCTTGCTTTCCTTGGAACCGGGTTCACCCTCTGCATGGGACAGTCCACTGATGTGCTCTTGGTGTGTGTGTGTGTGTGTGTGTGTGTGTGTGTGTGTGTGTGTTTGTGTATTTATCTGTGGGCTTACCACAACAAATTCCTCAGACAATGTAACAAAGGAAATTTATTTTCTCTCAATTATGGGTGTTAGAAGTCCAAGGTTAAGGTGCCAACAGCTTTGGTCTCTTCTACATCTTCTTTTCATGGTTTGTGGATGGCTGTCATCTTGCTACATCTCCATGAGCCCCTTCTGACTGTCCTTCTGGGGCCTAATCTAATTTTAGGATCCCAGCCATACTGGGTGGGGGTCCATCCATATGACCTCTTTTTGCCTTCATCTGCTGCTTTAACAGCCCTATCCAGAACATGATCACATTCAGAGGGTGTTGAGGCATTTCAACTGATGAATTTTGCAGGGATATAGCGCAGCCCATAGTATTGGGCAGGTGTACATGCATGTCCGTGTGTGTGTGTGTGTGTGTGTGTGTGTGTGTGTGTATGTGGTTTCACTATTTTGATTCTTTTGCTTTGCTGCTTTGTTTTTAAATTTCTTTGTATGTCTCTGAAAAGTCAGCATTTGGGTTCTCTAGTTAACTTGCTGGAGTCTCGCTGGAGTTGCTTATTATAGAACCAGGAAATGTCATTCTGGGTCACACCCCAGCTCTGTGCTTTCTGGTATCAAGTCTCTGCCTGAATTAGAGATTGGTTGGGGACAGCTCTGCAGATGGCTTCAAACATCCTTTCATGCTGATGTGGTTCTGTTTCATTTCTTTGTTTCCTTCTCTCTCTTTTCTTCTGTTTCTGAATTATCTTGGCCCAGCACCTTACACTTGTCAACTGATTAGTTTCATGTTGGGTATGAGTTGTGAAGGCTTCTACTGTGTTTCAGTCTCTGATTCTGAGACAGGAGTCCTGGAAAGTAATGACAAGAAAGCCTGAAGACTCTCCTAGTTATTTCAGGAGTTCAAATAGACATAGAATATTGAACAGTATAACTCTGTTATACTCAAAATCCAAGAACTCTACATTGACCAATTTTTATGCAGTAGAAATTCCTATGTGTTATTCAATAATCATTTTAGAACACAGCATTTGTAGTTTCTTTAACTTTATCTTAAATACTCCTGTGAGTAGCCCAAATTCCACCACTTACTACAGCTAGTAATGCTGGTATTTTCGGCATTTTTTGTCAATGATTTTTCTCTTCCAGAATCAGGAACTTTTCTGCAGTCCAGTGACTCGCTGAGAAGCATGGAGGCAACTTCAGCAGACAGCAGCTTGTTCACAGCCAAAGGTCTGGGGATGTGGGCTCTGTCTTCCTCACCCTTTGTCTCAGGGAGAAGCAAACCCTGAAAGATGTTATCATGACTCAGATGATGAGAGGAGACCCTGAATCCTTTTGGTTATGAAATCCTCTTGGCCCAAAACAATATGGGGCAGCTTTTGTGGCTTCTTCCTTCCTGGGGCTCTTGGTGAGGGAGAAGGGAGAGATTCTTCTTGACTCTTGGACTTCTCTGTGGTGGTCGTGGCCCATCTCTGGCGTATTTGTCTTCGCAACGGAGACTTGCTGTCTTGTCCTCATTTTAAGCCCATCAAGTTTCTTTGTAGTACCCAGACAGTGTGTTTTCTCTTTTTCTTTTTGTTTTGCAGCATCTGAAGCTTGGGTTCACTCATCAGCATTCCAAGTGACAAGGAAGATGTGGAAATGCAGAGATTAGTCTAGTGCCCTTTCCTCTAGAGGGGAAGGGAGCTGCGTTCCTGGGATGGCTTGTTTCCTGTGGGAGCGATCTTACCCAGCCTGCCTGTCTGGGAACTCAGTCATTTGCATGGCACTGTGTCCCCATCCCATTTCCTCCTGCAAGGTGGGATGGAGAAGTCCCCTGAAGGCCTCAGGGGTGACTCCTGCCCACCTCTGCTCATTCCCGGGACCTCTCTGCCAAGATCTCCCTTCTTCCTTAGCAACTCCGAAGGTGAAAGGAGTAGAAGTAAAGTTTACTTTACTACTATGAAATTACTTACTGGCTTTCCACATCTTCCTTGTCACCTGGGATGCCAATGAATGAACCCAAACTTCAGATGCTTCAAAATAGCAAAAGGAAAAGAGAAAGCATACTTTCTGGGTTTCTACAAAGAAACTCGATGGGCTTAGAATTAGGATGAGTCATTACATGTTTTTTCAAAGTATCACTCTATTATTTTGAGTCACATAATCCTTACACTAGTGCACTTTGTTTAGGGGCATGTAAGCATGGAAATAGACCTCTCTTTAAAACTCTGTTCTTAATTCCAAACCTTTCCTTTGAGATAATCACTGTTATTAGTTGCAGATAACTATTCTGGCTCATTTTTCCACCCCTTTACATGCATTTATGGTAGAGAAATATATTTTTATGGGTTGTATATTTTTAAAAAGTCTCCAGCACCTGTATGTAGCTTCATTTGTATTTGGCTTTATTCGTGTAGTGTTATATATTGGACCACTTTCCTTTCCAGTCGATGCGGTGATCTGCATCATTATGCTCAATTGCTGTACAATATTTCATCGTATATGTTCTCACAGAATATAGTTACTACTTCATGGCCTATAGCGTTTAGCTTCTCACTAATGTAAACGGTGCTGCTGAGAACTCCCTTCAGTGTATGCTTCTGTAAGCATTTATGCAAATCTTTCTGTAGATAGGTTGGTAGCCGAGGAGTGGAAGTGCTAGGTTGAAAAATGTGCAATTTTGCATGTAACAGATATTACAGAACCATTCAAGAGCAAGGCTGTGCCACCTGACCTTCCCTCCCCTTGAGTATTCACTTTCCGTATCCTCCCTGCAGAAGGATATGCCGGGTACGACCATGTGTTTGATCTTTAGTCTCCTGAGAAGAACATGTCACATTGTTCTTTTGTCTGAGTAACAGTGTGGGTGTAGGTCTAGATGTTTTATAGCTGGAGAGCAACCGTCCCGTAACTCTGCATAAGAGGCCCTGTAGGATCAGTCCTACAGGGTCTGATCAGAAGGCAGGCTCGGCGGGATAGGCAAGAGCAGAGGGAGAGGAAGCAGGTGTCGAAGGAAGACAGAACATCACGGCGAAGTGCAGAGGTGACTGGGTGTGGAGAAGCTTTGGCTTGCATAGTGGGAAGACAGAAACCCAGAACAGGACTGGACAGTGGACAGGACCCCGGGTGCCAGGATCCACACTGTCTTTGCTCATAGGATAGGGCACATTTAAGGGAAAAGAGAAAGTAGTGATTGGAGAGATAATGGAGGGTGGGCAGATGTATTGTTCTTCATTCCATCCAAATCCTGGGTCACCGTCCACTGAATGGTGAGGAGACGAGACATCATCTGCTGTCCTGCCTGTGTCCGTGCTACCCCTGATGAGCTTCACTCCTGCTGGCCAGATCCCAGGAGAGGCGGCGCTTGCTGCAGTAGCTGTGGGCCGTGCTGCTGGAGAAGCGCTTGCTGTGGGACAGCAGCCGGCTCCATGCTGCGTTAGGTTCTCACAGGAGACACAGGTGTTAATGGGCCCAAGGGAGGGGTGAACCAGAAGTGTGCTGAGTGATTAGATTGCAGCTTCTATTACATTAAAAGACAAAATACCGTCCCTCGCTTCAAAGCTGCTGGTCTGCACATTGCTGCCTCCTTCTGCGGCAACTCCGGAAGTGTGCATTCCTGGTGAGAGTCCAGTCACACGGTCGTGGCTGTCTTGCTGACCTGAATCCATTCAAAACATGTCCTTTTGGTGGTCGCTTTGACTTTGTGGAGCATCTAGAATCCCTGTGGCGCTGTGTTCCATGACTAAGCTGGAGGAGGACACCGCGCGACATTTTTATTGGACAGAAATCACCTTGAGTACTTTGAATTGGCTCAGAACACCAAGGCAGCCTTGTCAGCTCAGCTGCAGATGCTTGTGAAACTGGATTTCCAGAACCACTTCAGAAAGTGACAAGAGAAGCTCCAGCGGCGCAGTTGGTTAGCGCGCGGTACTTATATAACAGAAGGTGACAAGAATAATAAGGGACGGTGTGTGGCTTCAGCGAGGGAGATATTTTGAGGAATATTAGTGACATCTATATTTTGTTATGAGAAATAACATTTTTCAAATTAAACATTTACCGTGTTCTTCGTCCACACCTTATATTACATGCTGCATTGGTGTTAAGTTGTTGACAAAGACCACGTCCCTGAATAGCCCTTTGGCGAATGTTGGTGGCCCTGTTTTACCTAAATTTCCCAAGGCTGTGTGGCTCTCAGGTGACAGATTCAGGCAATCGAACTTCCATTGTATGCTCTTAGATATTACTTTATTTCACCTGGCCTCCCACACTGAGATAAAAAACTCTTATCATGCGTTACCCCACGTTTTGTTGTAGTGAAATATCCACAGTAATAGCAGAAGTTCCTACCTAGTGAGGACCCAACTGTGCAGTGGGTGCTGCTCTAAGAGTCTCAACATCCGCTATCCTATTTTAATCTCAGTGGTCTTCTGGGCAGAGGTAGATATTATTTCCACTTTGCAGAGAAAGAAATGAACGGTGACAGTTTTTTTAGGGAAGCTGACACCAAGGTCTTTCATTATCAATCTGCATTTTCTATGCAATATCTCTGTATTTTTCACAAAGTCCTGGTTGATACATACAGTTATAACCTTTTCAGAGGTTAAAGATTAATAAGTTATCCACCCATGACGCATGAGGATTTAATCTATGTCTTTTCAGCTATTTTGTTGAGACAGTATTATGCTATGAGTTCAGAGTGGCCTTGAATTTACTGTGTAGTCCAGAATGGCCTCAAACCCATGGCGATCTTCCTGCTTCAGCCTCCTGAGTGCTAGGATTACAGGCGTGTGCCAACATGCCCGGCCCAGATTTGTCACCCCTCTAACACCAGGCCACACTGCTTCCTCCTGCTGTCCTGTGCAGCCTTTTATAGGCCACAATGAAAATATTCATCATACTTATGAAAATACTTCCAAACACTTTATTTTATTTTTTGCTTATTTTTCATGTATGTATTTGGTACAGAGTCTCACTATGCAGCTTGGACTCGTAGTGATCCTTCTGTTTTCATTGTCCCCACTGCTGGGATTACAGGCCTGTGCCACCATACCCGGACTTGGTCGCTGGCAACCAAAAGCATGATTGTATATGTTTGTGGGGACACACACTTTTTCTGAGAGAAAGTACAGGACTTTCATTAGATTCTGCAAAATTTCTGTAAACCTCAAATGGTTAGTGGTCCTCATTCAATCGCAAACACAGTACGATCCCAGATGCAGGTCTTCTGTAGGTTACCGTCCCTCTTGGTCATCTGTTAAAGGAGCACAGAGTCTCCTCTGTACTCCAGGATTCACTCTATTTCTTGCTTAGTGGAGGAATTTGTGAAGTGGCCTCAAGCGGCCCCCTAAAGCTGCAAGGTCTCTTGTTTCTCAGCTCCCAATCCAGGGTAATGGAGATGCGGTCATGCCATCTCCTAAATATGACAAAATGGCCAAGGACTTAGTCCTCTGCTGGCCATATTGCAGGCTTGCTTTTATTGCCTCCATATCCCAACTCCGTTCTTTCTAGTTCCTTCTTCCACAAACTTTCTGGGCAGCATCAGGTAGGGACTGAGAGCTCATGGTTGTATCACCATGTTGTGACTCCTATTGATCAAACAACGTAAGCACTAACTGCTCCTTTCGATCAACTAACAGAAAGGGGTAGTATAATTATGTTGTGGGGAAGTGAAGTGGGATGGTAGTCGTGCTTATTTCAGAGACTTGCTAAGTGAGGAAATGCATGAAAAAGACTGCCAGGGTCTACTGATTGGGTGGTAAATGGTAGTCATCAGGTAGGATTTGATTTCTTCTTTTCTTTACACCTCTGCTGCCCTTCCCACTCACCCACCTTCCTGTTTAGACCAGTAAGGCAGAGACACAAGAGAGCATTTCTACCAGCCCTCGATAGACCAGCTGCTCTTTGCAAGTGTATATTCGCTTTGAGTAGTCTTGTGATTTAAAAAAAACTGAATAGGGAAATTACCAATGAGTGACAAAGTTACAAAGCTGGGGAAGTGACAGAAGTTTTGAAAATCCCATCATAGTAAATCTCTAGGAGGAGGAGAGGAAACATGAGATTCTGAACGCGGTTGCTGCTACCTTGTAGGCAGCTCTGTGGGACTTGCCACTAATGGGCTCGGTGCTGTGGGCAGACCCTGCACCACCCTGCCCCACAGTGGCTTTTTTTTTTTTTGTTGTTGTTCTCTTCACATTGCTCAATCAATGGAGTTTCCTTAAAGAGTAAATAAGATTCAAAAGGTACAG